GGGACAGGATGGGGATAGGACGAGGAGGGGGTGGGGTTGGGGACAGGACAGGGATGGGATGGGAATGGGGACAGGATGGGGATAGGACGGGGATGGGAGGGGAAGGGATGGGGACAAGATGGGATGGGGATAGGATGGGGAGGGAATGGGGATAGGGATAGGATGGGGATGGGATAGGAAAAGGATGGGGATGGGATGGGGATGGGGACAGAATGGGGATAGGATGGGGATGGGGAAAGATGGGATAGGGACAGGATAGCATAAGGGATGGGATGTGTCCCAACAAACAGCCACAAGAAGGTGCCCTCCAGGACAATCCAGGAGCAAGGGAGGGCTGCTGAACATAAACAGCTGGGGTGGGCAGCATGCCTGGTGTGACCACAGTCGCTCAGCTGGAGATCATGGTGAGCCCGGTCTCCTCAAAGACCCTCTGGAATGCCACCTGGAGGGACACCAAGGAGCAGCGCTTCTGGCAGCTGCCCACCAAGAAGTAGATGAAGGGATTGATGCTGCTGTTGATGCAGGCAAGCAGGAAAACCACCTGGGTGGGCACGAGGAAGTAGCCAAACTGCTGCAGGAAATTCCAGATGCTGAGGGGAAGAGCGAAGAGGAGGAAGAAGAGGACAGTGAGGGAGATGACGATGTAGAGTCTCTTGGGCTGGGGACCCTGGGAGACACAGAGGACTTTAAAGAAGAGGAGCACATTGGAAACGACCATGGATGGGGCAAAGATGAAGAAGTCGAGGGCGTACATGGAGATGAGAGCCACCTGGCAGGACTCCTTCTGTTCCAGGCACAGAGAAGACACTGCAGCAAAGACAGCGATGGAGAGGGCCCAGAGCAGGGCACACACCACTGCTGACAGCCACTGGGGGCGGCAGCAGCGGTACCAGAGTGGGAAGAGGATGGACACACACCTCTCGATGCTGATGGCTGTGAGGAGATACAGGCCCGTGTTGTAGGAGAAGAGTGAGAGCAGGAAAAGAAGCTGTAGGTACTTGAAGAAGGCAGTAGAGCAGTTGACGTTATCCAACACGTAGAGGAAGGATGAGGTGAGCACGAAGAGGAGGAAGGTGAAGTCAGAGATGGCCAGGTTGAGGATGTAGACGGTGACGGGGTTCCTGCGGATGCGGAAGCCCAGGAGCCAGAGGACAGCCCCGTTGCCCACCAGCCCACAGAGCCCGATGAGCAGAGTGACACAGTCCATGGCCATGTCAGAGACCTCTATCGTGCACGGGTCATCTCCCTCGGTGGTCGGTGGGAGTGGTAAGGAAGGTGAGGGTGTCTGCTTCAGCTCCATGGGTGGGAAGGTGGGGCTTGGCCCCCAGCTGAGGTCAGAGCAGACAGGGAATTAGTGGGACCCCAAGAGCAAGAAGGACGGGTCAGGGAGAGAGGTCGTGGAGATGTGGCCCAGCAGGGCTGAGGACAGGGGGCTGACAGGAGGGCTGGGAAGGTGGCTCCTTGCCAGTGATGGGTTGGGGGGTATTGAGGTTATGGAGGAGAGGTTGGAGGGGCTCCAGGGACCCTGAGGAAGCAGTGAGAGGGGCTCTGGGGAGGCACAAGCAGCTCTCCAGGGTGGGCTCCATCCCACCTCCTTACCTTTCCTGCATGTCCCAGCAGAGAACACTCCCTCCCCCCGGCTCTCCTTGCCACGATCTTCTCAGATGAGGAGAACCGAGGTCTCCACGTCGTGGGGACCCCCCCCCAGCCTGTCTCCTGCAAGCCCAGCTGCTCTTTGGGGCGTTTCTGCAAGATCACGGGTCAGGCTGAGCAGTCTCAAAAGACACTGGCTGCATCACCGAGCTTCTTCTCTGGACAAATTTCTCCTCATCTTGTGGGAAAGGAAATGTTCTTCCTGCATAGGAAATACCCCAGGGGATGAAGTCTGCAGCAGCTCCATCTTCCTCTGAAAGAATCTTGATGCTTTTAGGATTCAACCTGATATCTCATTAGACTCATCATTACCACCTTTCTAATTGTTTTATTGCCCTTCATTCATCCTTCTGAAATTGTTCATTACCGTGTGCATTTGCCTTCCAGCCTCCTGGCATGTCAACCACTGCTGGTTCTTCTCCATCTTTGTCATCCATGGGGCCTGGGTGGGAATTTGGTGTTGGAGCCACTAGTGTGGACTTTCTCTGGCTGGTCTGGGAGCTGTGGTGACCACCTGGATGGGCTGGTGCCCACCAAGGGACATGGTGAAGGTTGATGGTGGGAGAGCTAGGGATGAGCCAACCATGGGAGTTGGGGGGCACAGCAGGGAATGACTGGTGTGCCCCCTGTCCCTCCCTACACCAGAAGTGCCCATTCACCCCCTGCTAGTGCCTTGGGGTGGTACTGAATGGAGGGGAGGGGCTCTTGAGAACCTGGAGGTGGGGAACACAGTTCACCCTCCCTCCCCAGAGCAGAACTGGCTGCTTTCTGTGTCACCCCTCAGTCACTGAGTTCCCCCACCACCACCATGCTGGTGGGGGAACACGGGTGGGTACCCCAGCACCAAGTGCTCTCTGCTCCTCAAGCCGTTGCAGAAAGCTCCTCCAGCTTATTAAGGCAGCTAATTGCCCCCAGGGCTGCTATCACCCCTGCCTGCCTTACTTGGGTGGCTGCTGCACCCACGGCAGGGCTGGGGGAGCGTCAGGCAGGGCTCCCTCAGCCCAGCCACCCCCCACAAATGTCCCAGATCCCTCCCATCTGAGCACCCTCAGAACTCCCAGAGGAGGGAGCATGGAGAGTACCCATCCGTGACCCCCATCCACGGGGGTCCACAGCAAGGATTGCCGTGGGTAATGTGGGGGTGTGTGTGTCAATGTGGGGGCCACACGTGGCACCATCTGAGCCCCTGGGAGCAAGGCTGGGTTGGCGTGTGTGTCCCCTAGAGCACGACAGGGTCCCTGGGAAGTGACAGTGGCCTGGGGGCTGGCGTGCCCTCGGGGCTCTGGGGACAGGGCTGGGCACGGCGTGGCCCACCCCCCGGTGTGACGGCGGGGGTGGCACC